TCCCGCGGATTACGGCGGGGAATCATGCCGCGACGATATTGACGAGGCAAAATGCCGCCGGATTGACTCGCCGTTGTCGCTTAATGCGCGACCCAGAGACCCCGCAATCACATAGCGTTTTCGACTGGACCAGTATTAATCGCTTCGGGAGCGATTAATGACGTCACGAGTTTTGTTTGAGGTTACTAGACCAATAACCCAAACGCAACCCATTTTCGACCCATACAATTGCGAATTGATCCATCAGTGCCAAGAAGCTTTGTAAGGGTAGAATCAGGTTATACGTGCGTGCTTATTGTAGAACAAAGCATTCTTTGACGATAATAACGCGTAAGTTTACCAATAAATATTTCGATATTATTGTAAAATTAAAAAGAATATTGTACAGGACAGGATTTGATATCAAAACCATGGCGGACCACCACGTGACGAAACCGAAAAGATCAAAGGACCGACAGAGAGTGGACATACTAGTTATACTATGCTGTGATCAGAGACTGGCCATAAGAGTTGGTCAAATTCCTGCGAGTGAGAGAGAAGCATAGGCTATCTCACTCTTCTACAATTCTGCGAATTTGACCTAACTCTTATGGCCTTATCTCCGATTACGGGGTCTCTAGAGCGACAGATTGCGAAGCGCCTCGCGATAATCGCGCACATCTCGCCTATTCAATACCTACGAAGACTCGATTTTATCTGCGATACGCGCGACATAGCCCGTCGCGGCGATCGAAATGCGCGGCGCGAAAATTTCGCGCATTATCGTACCGAAAGTTCCGCGAGTAACTTATCCACCGCGATGAATGCTGTTAATCACCGACGTCGCATGTCTGACATGGTCTAATTAAAAACACGTTGCGAGGCCGGGGAGTGAAACATAATCACCAGTTTCCACCGGAATGAAATTTATTGTTTAATCCCCACGCTGTCACGCTTACCCTCCGCGCGTCGCTGATAATAAAATGCAAATTCGGCCGAGCGGGCAAATACATTCGGAATCGGAGTCTATCTGCCCGGGCGCAAAATTATTAAGTTCCCGCGAAGGTAAGCCCAAAATTTCGCGGCGGCGCGCGCATTAACGTCACCGGATGAGTTATCACTGTGAATAACATTATACCGAGTTCGCCAAGTATTATTTCCGTACGTACGTACGTACGTCTCTCGCTTCGTATTCCGTAAGATATAATGACATTATTACGAGCTCCCGAAGGGACACCCCACCCCTCTGTCCCCGTACGTAAGGGCCACGGGCGAACGCGCGAGCTATTCCCGCGTGTTTTCGCGGCGCGAAAGGAGCCGCTCGCTCGCGCGAGTGCGTTTTGTGCCGGGGTCGCGCACGCGGAGTGGAGAGGAATTTCTGGATTGTTGTTTGACATTCTAAACGGAACGTGCGCGGGGATATTTAATTAAACCGACGGCCAGAATGAAGCGAGGAGAAACCCCCGGGCCTCGCCGCGCCGCGCCGCGCCGCGCCGTTTCCGACCGACGTACTGACCGTGCCGTGTCACTTTAACGTTTTGCGCCGGGCAGAGTGTACGTCCGTTTGCATTGCACCCCGCGGTAATACCTCGGATCCCTGCGTGATATTCATAGAGACGCTTAACACGCGGCCGGCTCTTCCCCTCTCCCCTCGGTACACGCGTATAAAACGTCGCGCGTCTGAAATTAATGCGCCCGGCGCGGAATTGTCGTGTTTTCGGGGCCGCTGTCGGTGGCGCGATCGAGATATATATATATGTATATATACGTCGGCGATGACGGCATTGATTACCTCACCGATCGGTCCAATCATTCTTAATGGCCGCGCGTAGAGATAACGGATGTACGATATGTACGCGCGTGACGATAAGCGGCGGCCGCGCGCAAGTGTGAAAGTATTTCGCGATTAGTTTTGAAAATTTGACGATTTAATCTTTCACGGCGATGTGGGAGAAAGTAATAAATGTTCTCCCGGGAAAGGCTCACGTGCCGACACGCGGGCTGGAAACGTTGCGTGCACATCGACGCAAAATTGCAGTCACACGGCGAGGATTTATGTGTTCGCGATTTTGAATTAGCGAGGTGCGTAGGTTTATGTGCATATGCACTTATATATATACGTGCACTTAACGCTCGAGCGCACGAGCGCAAACAGCGTGCAGCATTATGTAAACTTCCACGAGACAAATTTGCCTTTTACGAAATGAAACGGCTCATGAACGTAAATAAATCATACCTCCCTCACATCTCGCGTTCGCTACGTGCGTGTATAAGAGATCGGGAAATCTAAAATTCTTTAGATTTGTGCATCCCGGCTGGGCTAATGCTTTTCGCAAGGAGATTTCTTTACAGTACGGAGAAGAGGGTATGGTGTCGAATATGCTACACTGAAAAAAATTTCTGGTTGAATATGAACGAATCAGATAATTCCTTTAGGATTTACCAGAATTCTTTAGGATTTACAAGAATTTCTGTAGGATTACAGGAATATGGACGAATCAGATAATTCCTTTAGGATTTACCAGAATTCCTTTAGGATTTACCAGAATTCCTTTAGGATTTACCAGAATTTCTGTAGGATTACAGGAATTCTGGTAAATCCTAAAGGAATTCTGGTAAATCCTAAAGGAATTATCTGATTCGTCCATATTCAACCAGAAATTTTTTTTCAGTGTAAATTTAGTATTTCAATAGAAATTAACATCAAGAATTATTTGACCCCAGTACATGACCGACAATAATTAAGCTTTCAATCGACCCTAGGGGTGGGTTGAAAAGTTTTGAGCCTCAACATGAGAACGGCATTACTTGCCGTCGCCGCTTCAGTACCGCGACTGTACACGCTTTGCAGGATACCTCTGGAAATTTCAGCCATTTTGGACTCTCAGTTGTACGACAGTCGTTTGTGTCAGTGGATGTTAGTATTTTCGTAAACATGGAAAAAATGCAATATCGGGCCAAAATTCACGAATTCCAGTTCGAACTGACTGACCACCCCCCGTATTCACCAGACCCAATGACTCTTTCCGTTTCCTAAACTCAAAGTTTGGCTCGAAGGACAGAAATTTTCATCGAACGAGGAGGTCATAGCAAGACGCCAACTATTAGGATTAAGTGTAACGATTTAAAAGGAGGCTATGTCGAAATAATTGTTTCTACACTGAAAAAAATTTCTGGTTGAATATGGACGAATCAGATAATTCCTTTAGGATTTACCAGAATTTCTTTAGGATTTACCAGAATTCCTGTAATCCTACAGAAATTCTGGTAAATCCTAAAGGAATTCTGGTAAATCCTAAAGGAATTATCTGATTCGTCCATATTCAATCAGAAATTTTTTTCAGTGTATGTTAGGCTCACATCTTTTCAACTCATCCTCGTATTGATAATGAAGATAAAGGCTGAAGCCTGTAAAGGAAAGTCCTATTATGAAATAAGATCCTAATATAGGATAGCGGGGTTTCTGTTAGATTAATAGGTATCTCCAGTTGATTCCAGCTTGAATTGATTGCCCTCGGGGCAAAATCTGTTTAGTGGAATTTCATTGTTAAATTGTGCAATCGTTGCGAAAAAAAGATTTGTGATTGAATTTCGGCGTTGAAAACCTGCTATCTCATAATAGAGCACTTTACTCTATATATTTGCCAGTGTTTCTCGAAATGTGCAGTACGAACCGTAAATATTAGGTATATCGCCTACGTTTAAAGGCTGCCGGTAGCAATTACTATGCTGTGTCGAGGTACGATCGACCCATGCGTTTCCGCTGGATTAATTGCCCCTAAAACGGCAGCAGGCTCGTGGGAGGGTGGAGGGGGGGGGAGGGGCGATAGGGGCGCGGGGAAAAGGGTGGCGCTCGCGGGGTGAGTGAGCTTGGGGGCGCGATTAAATCACGCTCGTTAAATCGAAGCGGACGGTGCGGGCGCGGCCCGCAAAAATTGCTGGCCCGTTCATTCCGGCCGGACTCTAAAATCGGCACTATATGACGTGGACGAGCGATGAAAAATTAATGAGCCCACCGGTTGCCACAGTCGGTCGGCCGAAACGAGGGCGGGCGCAACGGTGTGAGAACGGAGAATGGCGGATACCTGCGGAACGATAACAGTTTCCCCGGTCCAAGTACTACGTATCGGGGCTTTTTCCTCCCTCTTTTTATGCGTCTGACCGCGACCGGAATTAAAAGCGCCCGAATGCGATTGCCCGTCAAGATCGGGAGGGTTGAAACCCGGTTGTCCGCGACATCCGTATTAAAATCAATCGACCCGTGACCCATAAAAATTGCACACGCGTGAGAAATCGTTTCTGCAACCTTGATCCCGATTAACGATGAATTTTAACGACGGAGAACGCGGCTCCCCGCTCCCCGGGCAATATTATAATAATTTCAACCCTCCTTTCTGGTCGTGTTCAGAAATATCTGATTTACGGCCGATTACACCCCGAATTCCGTTATACCGTTCCGAGGAGCTTCCTATTCATTCTCCAGCAAATTTCTATTCTTCTTTTCCTTTTTCGCTTCCGCCATCGGCGGAACAAGTGAATAACTTTCGACTCGATTCCCGATGAAGTGGCGAGCTCGATATCAAATTGGCGGACTTCGTCGTGGGATTCGCCCGATGGAAAATTTTTAATGAAAGTCACTGGGGAAGATACGAAAGTTACGGAGAGGCCAACGAAGCGAGAAGAGTCCCCCGGTAATCTGCGACATCTTGTTACAGCGTGGTGTAAGAAAGGCGGAGGGGAGGGCCGGCGAGCGTTCGCGTCGCGCCGCGACCTCCTCGTTCAATTAAAGCGTCAGCGTCCGCGGAAAACTTTTATATGAATGGTTTTCATTACGTCGCGGACTTATTAAGGGCGTCTTCACGCGGGCATTAATATCCCCGTCGCAACGAGTTTTGTTATCAAGCGCCGGCCGTCCAGCCCGCGGTAGCGCGCTACTATTTTAACACCGTGGTGAGTCCAGGAGGGGGGGGGGGGAGGGGGAGACCGAAATCCGTGATACCGCGAGATTCTTCTCTACGTACCGCTCGTCGCTCGCGGCTTCCTCCAGCCGTGGGGTCTTATTTTCGAATACGGTAAAAGCCTCGTTCCCGCAAGTGCGCCGGTCGATTATATCGATCTGAAAAAGGGAAAAAGGCTCGCGTTACCGCGGACAGGCTTTGGATAAGGTTTTTACTATATTGAATGGAAATGCGCCATTATTGTTATCGCGTCGCCGATAATATTTTGTTCCGAATAAGAGGCGGAAGTAATTCATGTTGGTACGTGTGGTATTAAAGGACTAGCAACAATGGCCGGTAATTTGCTATTCGGAGTCACGCCGCAGAAATGTATTCTTGCGTGATGATATATGCATCACGCGCGTAATCGTACGGTCGGTTACACGAGAGCACATCGCTATACGTTCGACTAAACCGGTGATAAAACAAATCGTGACAAATTGCCAGGGAGATGTGGCAGCCCCGTGCCACGCAATTGCACCGCCGACGGTGTTTCACCGAGTTAAAGAACGAAAAAAATGTCACGAGGAAAGAGCGCGAGCTGCGTCGAGCCCAGTTTCATTTGCGAATAAACGCCCCTAGCGCTGCCGCTTTTTATTTAACATTATCATTCCGCGAATAATATGCGCGTACAAAATATGCATTCGGGAGATAAACGTCTCCAGGTTCGAAGTAAAATGTTCCGTCACGGATTGAGGGAAGTCTCGGGTTCGAATCCTGAGATAATATTGTTCGCAATAAGAATAATTTACAGCACGGAAAAAGGGGGGTATTGAATGCTACATGTAGCATTTAAAATATAATTACAAATCGTTTTTATCGAATTTGAATATGTGAATTTGCTGACGATAGCTCCACACCCACAGAAAAAATTTCCGGATCCAATGCTATTACACCTCAATGTATAATATCATAAAATAGGATCGATATAGCGCCAATCATATCTAGAATAAAATGATAGTCTTTTGTCGAATATCGTGTTGCCATCTTCGTGCGTTATAAGATGGGAAAATTTATTCTAAACGCAAGAATGTGTAAATGTACATTAATATAAGTCAATCTTTTTTAATTCGATAGAGGAGAAGAAGAATTATTGCTTTTATTTTGATATTGTCTTATTTTTATACTAAATGAGGTTCTGTGAAATAGAAATGCGTCAAGAATATTTTTTGTCTCGGTAACAGAAATCCTTTCTGAGGGTGCACCCGTAAGGAAACCGCGTTATGTCCGAAAAGAAACCGGCGCGCAGGACAAAAGTGGAAAGAAACGGTATATGCATTCACATTTTAATAATACACAAGTATAGGCTACCTACAACGTGCGTTGTGACCCGCATTGGCGTTTTCTCACGTGTTGTTCAGTTTTTATTTAGGTGTCTTACTTGAACTCTATTGTTCTAATATGTTCCGCGCAAGTTTAAGTAACGACGATTACAACGGCGATACGGGCAATCCGTAACGCGAAAAGAACGTCGGCCGCGGGAAGACAGACGGCGCCGGAATTATGCCCGCGCCAAAGTAATTTCTGTGGCCGGTGTCTTCCTGATTTCGCAGAGTGCCCACAGCCTCCTGCGGACTTTCCGGCAGTAATGAAAAATTGCGCCTGCGCAAGTCCCATCTCTTAAGTACGTCCAAGGGGCTGATTCTCGAGAACTAACACCGGTACTCGAGGTGTGCGTGTGCCGCCATAGTTTCCCGGCAGACTACTGTAATTTCGCATTGGTAGAAGAGACGAGGAAGAGCTTAAGAACCGCGACGCCGGGAGAGAACGTGGAGGATAAGACAAATGGAGATGACGGAGAAGAAGCGCGCTCCGACAAAAACATGAAAATTATTAAGTAGACGTACAAAACAATTCGTAATGTCCACAATATCGCGCCATACGAGGAGAAAATAGATACGTAAGAGATACAGCCGCATCTCTCCGTTTTTTTCGTGCTATCCAGCGGAGCTAGAAGCCTTTAGCGCACAAGGAAATGGACCACTGACTGTGGTCGAGCGCCGCACTAGGTAACTTGTAGTAATGAGCGAGTGGTTGCTGGTAAGTACCTGCTAAGTACCGAAGTGAGTAAGGAATATTGTGTCCTTTGCCCTTCGACTTGCTGCCTGCGATACTCGAGCAAAAAATGTAGCATTTCTCTGCTCTCGCGAAGGTGTTTCTACAGTTAATTCCGTTATATATGCACGACTGTCATTGATATGAAAAACGCAAAAACGATTTTACAGACTTTACCTTTCGGCACGAGACCACGGAGAGTTGGAATCTTGTAATTTACTCAAAAAGAAAGAAAACTGACGCGTATAATTGTTGACAGGACCGTTACAAGAGCAACGATGCACGCTTTGCTGATAAAAATACATAAACGCCCTAATCGTAGCACATCCGTTGTAGAATCGCTTATGAGGTTTTACGGTGGTTAATTTCCTGTTAATTAGAGTTCAAATATCCCGGAAGTTCTTCACTCGCGGGAACGCGAGCAAGAAAATGCATGCGCGCATTTCAGAAGTCTTCAATGTTAAAAACGGGTATTTGCCGGACGTGTAGAATAAGTGACATCAATCCTTTCCCGCAATGTACCCTCTCCTTTCTTTTTACCTCCCGGCAAATAATAAAAATAACCGGCTACTCCTGTGGCGCAACTGTGGAATTGCGATGCGTCTCTGCTGGAAATCTCATGAACTTTTAATTTACGGAAATGTCATCCGGACAACGCGGCTGTGTAAGCTCTTTAAAAAAATGGCGAAATTGGAAAAATAAGCAGTTCGTATCTTATAACGCACGTGCAATCCCACATGCCTCTTATTACGCGTCCTCGCTTCCCCGCGCGCCGGCTCGCAACGCGCAAATTCGTGCCGCAATTTCGTCGTAATTTAATTTAACGCGGCATCGTCCGAGCAAACTTTCTCGCTTCCTAAATCCCGTAGGAGCTCGGCTGTCGGGCACAAGCGGATGGATTTTTATCGCCCTCTCCCCATCCCGCCGCTCTCTCCTTTCCGTCCTCTCCTACCCCCCCCCCCTCCTCCCCCACGCCCTCTCATTCTCTCTCGCTCGCTCTAATTTACAAACTGATTTTTGATGGAATTGTGAAATTGGAGTCGGGCGAAACGCACGTGGAGGAAAAGGGGGGGAGGGATGATTGCACAAGGCGGAAGCTTCATTTCGGATTTCGAGGCAAACATATTTGCCGGATTCAATTAGAGTATAAACTATTTCCCCTCTCTCTCTCTCTCTCTCTCTGCGCTGAAACCTCAATATAAATTCTAGCCCGTAACGTGGTAATCCCGGATTATTATCATTATTATTATCCGATGAATAAATTATTGTACGACGTGCTATTTCACTCTATATCTAATTCATTCGCTCATTTATTCCCCCCCCATAAAATGCCACGGAGAGTGAAATACCGCGCGGAAAACAATTTTTAAGTCATATTTTTGTGGTTACTCCTGACGTTCCGCGCCACTTTCATTATTCCATGGTGTTTTTTTTTGCATCGCGCTGTCTCGCTGGATCGTTTCGTAGGGGATTGCGTATTGGGGTGCGTGCGTGCGTGCGTGCGTGCGTGCGTGCGTGCGCGTTTGTGTATGCAGCTCTCTCTCTCTCTCTCTCCCTCTCAGTTGCACTCGCACAATCCTAGTAATTTGTCGCAGCGGTGCATTCAGCGCTACGGATCGAAAGGATTAAAAGCATCTATGGATACACGAGCCGGATCGAGTTGCAAAAGCAGTTTGCGTTAATAGCGTGCGATCTTTCCTGTCATCATCGGTAAGCTGCGATCGATAAATCATATATCGCGCAACAGCAGCGGCTCGCGGCAACATCTGTTTTTAGAACCACCTAGTTAACAGCTTAATGTTAAGTTTATGATCATTGTTTCTAGACTGCACGTTATTCACAAGTGGCCACTGTACCAGCGCGACCGTAAATCGATATTGAAGATAATATATATATAGCTTCTTATCCGGCAGACCTGCGTATTGAACAATTATTATTTTATCACTGTCGGCGATTATTTTAGTTCTATTATAGCTTCGGAAATATCGATCACTGAATACTGTAATGTTTTACTGTAAGAAACGTGAGCCGGATACCGTATGTCGAAGTTGTATTATTGAAATTAAATAAAGGTTAATGATTAATGTAAGACCAAGTCGTATTTTTACCCAGTTATTAAATGTTTCTCATTCTGTGTGAGCAAAAGGGTAACCGCTGAGGGCATTGCGGTGTACAGATTTGCGGCTTTACTGGGCACTTTTCGGGCATTAGGCCTTGCTGGGGCATTGCAAAGATAAACTTAGATAAAATAAATTTGAAGGAATAAAGGACTAAGAGCCGCGACAGGGTGTTAGTGTCTAAATATTTCATTCTAAGTTTATTGCGAAAAAATATCACCTCAGTCAGGGTTAGAACCTTGACCTCCGTCTCGCTAGGCGGGCGTCTAAATTTGATTCGAGGTATATGGAAATATTCATCGCAATAAACTGTCTAATGTTGATTCCCGAATGCCACCTATCGTGACAGAATTTGAAAACGAGATATTTAGACACTAACACCCTGTCACGGCTCTTAGTCCTTTGTTTCTTCAAATTTGTGTTTATCACAGTTGAGCCATACGAATTTTATTAATAAGATAAAATAAGATAAAGTAATGTCCGCTGGGCATTTGTGTACAAGATTTTAGTCAGCGGTTTCTCCCTCGCAAACAACCCTCGAAACAATCCTCAAATAAATTAATTGTAACGTGCTTTTCTCTAGAGAACACTTTCACTTTTTGTTGTTTCTATTTCACAGCACGTTGACTGTTAATAGTTATATAAGCTCACATTTGGATGTATTTGCAGAATGGATCCGTTTTCGTGTCATATCGGAAATACCGTTTCTTGTCTCTTCCGTGCGATTGCACTAAAGGTATTCGCGTCGCGCGATTTTATGGATGGTACAACGGAAGCGCATGAAAGCACGATGAATACGTTCGATGTGCATCGAGAAAATGCATGTGCAGAGTGGCAAGGCAAAACAACGCGATGAAATCAAATCCTTTTTACAGTTTCCTGCAATTTTTTTCCAATTTTTCAAAGATTGGTAAATGTTTTCTGAACGATAAGCCGCGTAAATTATT